CAATTTATAATACAAAGCATAACAATGTTATAGCAAAGCATACGTATGTATATCAGGCTTTGCTAATAACCTGGCCTTAGCACTTGGGGAAAAAAAGCCAGATCTTTTAAGATTTACTTGAGGGGTATCAGCGTTGCTGTCATCTGAATCTCAAGGGGAATGCTGTTTCATAACATAAGCACCAGCAAATTGGTGTCAACAAACAGATGGATGGATGGATTCCCTTTTTAGAAGTTGTACTGCAACAACATATGAAGGTCTGCTGGTTGAATATACCTTATAGAGCCTTGGTGGCACAGCAGACTAAAGCACTATTAAGTAACACCAGCTGCCTGCAATTACTGTAGGTTCAAATCTCACCAGGCTCAAGGTTGACTCAGCCTTCCATCCTTTCGGGGTAGGTAAAATGAGGACCCGGTTTGTGGGGGCAATAAGCTGACTGTGTAAAAAAGAACACCGCTTGGGGGGCCCCCGAAAGCCCTACTAAGGAGGTATATACAAAAGTATGAAGGCTATTGCTTAATGCATTGTAAGCCGCCCTGAGTCTCCGGAAAAGGGCAGCATATAAATCGAACCAATAAATAAATAAATAAATTACTGGATTTTCTAAATGCACCAAGCCATATGTCATGATTTCAAAGCCGAATGGCTGGACTCCATACAGATTTATAGCAGCTTACCTACAAATTAAAAATATAGTACAAGGCAAATATAAGTAAAACATCTATAGTTAAGCAAATGAAAGAAAAGACATCTAGAACCCTTGAAGATTTAGATGTCTTCCTGGGGAATGGAGGCCAGATTATTAATTGGAGCCTATAAAATTCATTGTGGCAGGCTTTTATTTTGGTTATGAGATGGATGATCATAAATTGGTTAGCCACTCAGACTCACAATGGACATTCATGACTATTTTCAGTCATTTCGTGGATGGAATAGCATCCAGACTGAATTCAGAAAAATCCGTATTGGGAGTTTTTCTGGGCTTTTTTTATTATTATTTGCTCATGAGTTTCAGATTAAATCTGATTTATTTGGGTTTTCACCTGGGAAAATCTCTCCTGGAAAAAAATCAACTTTTCACATTTGAAGTATTGGGAGCCTGGTTTGTTTAAGACATTGCCTCAGTGGTATGATAGAGCTGATGTTTGACATAATGTTATCCAATACTTGATTGGGTTTCACTCTGCCTCAAGTATAGAGAAACAGGGCAAAAACTTTGAAGAAGGAATGCAAGGGCAGTTGAATAAATACCAGTAAGCCCTGAACAAGAAAAGGATTTGATTTTTGGGGGGAGTGGCATGAGAGGGAAGATAGAGAAATTCTGCAAGGCTTTCAAAATTCTGGTATTATACCTTGTATAGTCCTTGTGAAATACCTTTCTTTTCGAAGTACGTGGTCTACCTTGACATCAATAACACCTGGTATGATCACGATCTATTTTTCTTCGCCGAAGGTTCTGCACCCTCTCTCCCACACTTTGTGGTCATCGGACTCAAGATAAGACTTATTCAAAGACGTGGCCAAACAGTTGGGCCATGAATTATTCACACTGCTTCAGCACAGTGACTAACAATATCAGATTATGCTGGCTCCTACCTTAGCAGTATGTGTGTGTTTTCTACCTTATGGGCAAAGTCCTGAAGTTACTACTACAGTCCAGTTCAATCCTAGCCAGGAGTTCACCATGATCATTAATACTGAGAAAAATTAGATTGCTTGTGGTGGAAGTTAGTGCTCTCTTTAACTTCATTTCTAACTGAGGTGAGTGTCTCGTCTTCTCTCTTTCTCTCTGGCTGTTAAATTTAAATCTTTCCACTTTCCACCATTTGTCCTCTACCAGTATTCTCTCTGGCATTCCACCTTTTTTTTTTTTTAATAAAGCAGTTCATATACATAGGAGACGAGGACTGGTATGTGGAGGAATCTGGCTTGGCCTACACAACAGGGAGAGCATCTCTGCTAGATAAAAATTCTGCATCAAACAGAAGGTATATATTTTACTTCCCACTGTCCTGGTAAGCAAGACAGTGTGTTCTTGAAAATAAATTAGTAGAGTGTATTTTTCTTTCTTTGAATATATTTCTTACATGTATAAAATATTTTAATAAAAACTAAAGAAAAATTGCCAACAGCTCCTTGCATGACTTCTTTCATTCTGGACCTTATGGATACTTAGAGCAAGTAAAGAATGTTGCTAGAGTAATTCAGCTAGTTTCTACAGTTTCTATTGAAGAAGAATGAATCTTATAGCAATACAGAACTGGAGCAAAATAAATGTAGAGCAAGTTACAACTTGCTATGTACTACTTACTTAGTGTCCACATTGCTTCTAAAAGAGTTTTTCAGATGTTTTGTTCATTATTACTTGGCACCAAGCTTTTAGTTTAGAAACTCTGTAACAACTCTTGAGTGGTATATAATAAAACAATTACCATATTTTTCCGTCTATAAGATGCCCCGATGTATAGGACACCTCCTCCCACTTTTCTTACCTAAAGTTCAGAAATCAGGTGAAAACTGTCTCAGGTGGGAGCAGGGCCTACGCATAAGGCAGCAGCCCAGGGCCAAAGCATCAGCGGAACGCCACAGGGTCAAGGAGGGTGCTGAAACAAGCAGGCGTCCTGCCTGCAGTGCCCATGCCGTCTGCCCCTTCCCAACCAGAGCTGCAATGCTGTCGTGTTTAAGTGCCAGTAGATGCCGGCCTTCCCTTGGTGGGCCTTGGCAACTGCAGGAGCGAGATGGGCCCATTTCAGCACCTGGCTCCCAGATGCCCTCGCTTCCTCCAAGCATTTCTTTGCCTACCTGATTTCCAACTCCGTCACATTTCTTGCCGTTGTGTGCAAGGAAACAAAAGTTTGTGGGACTAAAAAAAAATGCAATAAATTCCAACTTAGCGAGATTTTTTTTTTTCACGAGAACTAGGAATTGATTGAACTTTTTTTTTTTTAGTCCCACAAACTTGTTTCCCTGCACACGATGGCCAGAAACGTGAAAAAACATTTCCTGTTTCTCCATTGCAATGGAGCTCCCAGGATCCACTTTGATAGCGGGGAGGGGGGGTAATTTAACAACCAGTTCACCCAGGGTCAGGTTGGCCGTCATAGGAGACTCGTCCCGCATGTGTAGCTGGAAGACGGGGATGGGTCACGCCTCCCATGATGACCAACCTGACCCTGGGCAAACGGTGGTTCTCTCGGGCCCCCATGTATAAGATGCCCCTCCATTTTTAGATAAACATTTTAAAGAAAAAGTATTTTCTTATACACAGAAAAATACAGTAAAAGACAATCAGACACACAGGGCCCATCAGCCACTCTAACCTAAGGCCTGGAGAAAAATCCAAGTTTTCAAACTCTTGAACATGTCCTGAGGAAGTCAGTCATATTTGGGGAAGGGGAGCAGAGCAGGATGTTGTTACAAAAGAGAATGCTTCAACCCACTTCCCAGGTCCCATCAGGTAATGTTGTTAAATAAATGTAAAAATCAAATGATTTAAAAGTAAACTAAAAGCACAATTACCTCTTCCTGAAAGAGAACTGTGGAACAATTATGTTTTAAACCTCTAAGAGAAAATAATAACCAGCACCCTAAACTGCAACAAGAAGCCTACTGATGTTTGAAACATAAAACAAGCCTTTTAATTTTTATATATTAAAATTCTTCCATTTTTGGTAAGGCAGTTCAGAGTAAAATGAGATTATTGTTTGGTTATGAGTACAATTTAGCATATAATATATAATTTAGTAATATGTTTCTCTCAATGGGTGATATTTTATTCTAAATATCTAAATCACAGAGCTGAAAGAATAAAAGGCAGACAAACAAATAGTCTGCAAATTTCAGGTTATTTGGAAAACATGGCAAAGAATGGAGTGAAAACACAATAGAGTTAAGATAGAAAATGGAATAAAAAGCACAATTATCTCCCTATAAGAGGGCTGTGGAACAAATATATTTGTCTTTTAAATATTTTTTGTCTTTTAAAACGTTTAAAGGAAAAGGGAGATGCTCTTTAAAATATAGGAAACAAAACTCAGAAGCAATACTGGTAACAAATCTGCAAAAAAACAATTTATTTGTTATGGACCTTGAGGACTCATATTAAAAAAAAACACTTCCATTTGTAGGATTAAAAGACAGTGGTTCAGGGCATAGTGAGAGACAACTCTTGAATCATAAATGTATGCATGTTACCACTTTCAGGGATAATGGCTTGGTGATATGTATCCCAGGCATTGGTTGAAGCCCATACATACAAAGCTAGCCAGTAGAATTTCTTGGATTCCGTGCTCCTCACTATTCCTCTTGCAAAGGATCTCATACCTTCCCAGCTCTTTGGGCAATGATTGACAATAATAACAATTTGACAATGATTTAAAGTGGGAACTAGGAAGGTGGTAAGAAGCGGCAAGGAGATGGGTCCATGCAGGATCATTTTAAGTAGAACAGTGCCCTCAAGATGAAGCTGTCATCCTCTAGAGAACTGGCGGTGTGCATGTCTCACGGAGAGGTTGCCATAAATAGAGTTAATCAAACTCTGGGTGGAACTCATCCTGTATTTGGAAGGAAAGTTAAAAGGGGGTGGGGGGGAAATGGAGCGATGCAATTACAGTATAAAGGGGGGGGGGCTGTCCTTCCAATAAAGGAAAAAAGCGGGGCTGGGGGAACCGAAAAGACGAGGAAATAGCAGGGCCCAAAGAAATAGTAATCAGTGAACGTTTCCACAGAAGAAAGATGGAAACATCTCCTGACGGGAAAGCTACCCTCTGGGTACCGAAGAAAGAACCGACAGAGGAGCGGCCTTGATCTCCTCTCACATCGCTCCACCCCTCAGACATCCACCCGCAAAGGATCACGTCATCCTTTTTGCTCACTGCACATGTGCAGCATTGCGGTTCTTGCTTCCATTCCTAACCCCCCCCTCCTCGAAACATCTGGGCAGGGAGGGGGGCGAGCGGGAGGGAGGGGGGCGGCGGCGGCGGCGGCGAGGGAGCGTCCTGTTATGCGTGTTTGTCCGCTGGTCTGTCGGGCCTGTTTCCGAGCCCGGCGCGCGGCCCTGGCCGCTCCGTCATGGAGGCAGCGGCGCCGGCGGCAGAAGCGAGAGCCGTTGAAGCAGGCACAGCCGACGGAGCGAGCGCCACGGCGGCGGCGTCCCTTAATTTCTTCTTTCCCGGCCGGACGACTTGAGTCGTCCCGCCTCGCCGGGGCTTCTCCAGCATGAGCGGAGGAGGGGGAGGAAGCGACGGGGGCGGCGGCAGCTCCTCTCCGTCTGCTCCCGGCCGGTTCGCCGACTACTTCGTGATCTGTGGGTTGGACACCGAGACTGGCCTGGAACCGGACGAGCTCTCCGGTGAGTTACTCAGCCCCGCAGGCGCTAGAAACGCAGCAGCTTGGACGGACCCGGGGATTTGCTGCCGCCGGATGCATGGCGTCGTTTGGATGCCCTGGAGGAAGGGAGGAGCGGGGACTACTGTAGATGGTGCTTTGCCCGTCTTAGGGCCCGGGCAAATAACGCGCATTTTCTCCCCCGCACATCCCTTTCTCTCATACGCGGATATACACACACATACACGCACACAGCGAGAGAGAGAGGAGAAGCACGCAGAGGGGGGAGGGGGGAGAGAAAGAGAGAGTGGAGAAACACAGAGAGAGAGAGAGAGAGAGAGAAGGGGAGAGAGGAGAAACACGGGAGGGAGGGAGGGAGAGAGAAAAAGAGTGGAGAAACACAGACACACAGAGAAAGAGTGAGAGTGAGTGGAGAAACACACACACACAAGAAAAACACACACAGAGAGAAAGAGGGGGGAGAGGAGAAACACACGGGGGGGAGGGAGGGAGAGAAAGAGAGAGAGTGGAAAACACACAGAGAGAAAGAGGGAGAGGGAGAGGAGAAACACGGAGGGGGGAGAGAGGAAGAGAAAGAGAGAGAGTGGAAAAACACACAGAGAGAAAGAGGGAGAGGGAGAGGAGAAACACGGGGGAGGGAGAGAGAGAGAAAGAGAGAGAGTGGAAAAACACACAGAAGAAAGAGGGAGAGGGAGAGGAGAAACACGGGGGAGGGAGAGAGAGAAAGAGAGAGAGGAGAAACACACATAGAGGAGAGAAACACAGAGAGAGAGAGCACGCGCGAGAGAGAGAAACACAACACACACAGCAAGAAACAGAGAGAGAGAGAGAGAAAGGCGCGCGCACACTGTCGCTTTTGACAGCCACACGAACAGGAAAAGCTTCACAAGTGGCTTGTGACCCCACCAAGGGCGGTCCAGTTTAGCATAACAGAGCTCGAACTTCTTTTAAGCAGCGATCCACCCTCCCTCGGGCTGCCTAAGAGGACAGTGACAGATGGAGGGGGAGTACGGGGGCTTTCCCTGCTTGGTTCAGAAAGAGAAGGGTGCTCTCGGGGATGATGCTGAAAACAGCCACTGCTTTGTTTTGGCCACAACAGGAGCTTATTTTTTTCCCACTCTTCTTCCTCTCCTTGAGCTATCCGAACTCCCTAATTGCTTCAGTTGGTACTTTGGAGGGCAGAGGCTGCTTTTTAAGATTGTGGCAGTTACTACATAAGATACAGGAAACGCTTTTCTTGGTTTTTCCTGTTTTCAAATCCTGTTCTATTTTCAGATGAACAGTCTTTGATTTGTGTATTTTTGACTAACGCCCATTTCTGTGAAGAGTGGTGTTATAATTAAACATATCAACTTGACACAATTTTTAAAAAGAAATTATTAAGTTGCAAGCAGAAGAGATAGAAGAAGTAGAAGTTACAGAAGTATCGCAAAACTATTATGGCTTTTAGGGCAGCTGCCAATATTTTAAATTCTTTTCTATCTTCTGCCCATGTTCATGAATGGCTGGATAAACTAATGTCCCTGTTGAGAGAGTAACACTATGTAGTTAGGAAATGGATTCAGTATATAACCATAATATTTTCTAAGCTAGCATAAGAAATACTGCAAATATATTTTAATTTCATTTCATTGTTATGTGTGAAGTACTTCCAGGATTTAATTTGTATAATCATATTACATTGTTTAAAGTTAAATATATATACAGGATTGGGAATATAACTTTTCATTATAATGCAATCAACTTTATATATAATAAGCTTTGGTACTGCCTTTAGTAATCTGTTCTTTATTAAAATGATAGGCTTCTAAAATCATTTACTTTTTACAATCCCAAGATCCATTCAAGCAGCATAAAACTAAAATGTGGTATAAACAGTTATTATTTAATACACTATTTAATTAAGCAAACCATGATATGGCACTTTAAGAGCACAACCATATAGTCAACATTTCTCCAGTTTGAGGTAGTATGTCATTTACCACCCTATCTGGATTAGGATGCTTTGATCACAATACCACTTTTTCTGATTAAATATTGTTCTACATGGGGTTGCCATCAGGGGTGGGTTCCACTTACCTTCGCTACCAGTTCGCAACAGGAGCGCTTGCACTTCGCTCGCGCTTCTGCACATGTGCAGATCGTCCGTGATGATGTCTGAGTGGGTGGGCGGAGCCTCCTGCTGCCGTTACTACCAGTAGCAACCCACCACTGGTTGCCATTGTAGAAAACATGGAATCTACTACTGGTACAAAATTTAATAGCTAAAAGAACATGCCACATAGAATAATAAAGCCTTTAATAAAGTTACAGTTAAAAAATGTATCAGCAGGTTTTTGGACCCAATTTAAAGCGCTGATTGCTGATAGTCACACAGGTTTTTTTAGGATTGGTATGGGTTATGAACATTGTTAAATATGTAAACAAATGTAAAGAATCCTAAACCACATAGTTTATTTCAAAAACAGTTTAAGTAAGTATTTACTGTTTATAAAACTGAGTGGAGTTGACAACCCTGAACATAATCACACATTCCTGGTTTTAACACTCTTATTTTTATCAGCAGCATACAGTACTGTATAGATTCTGGAAGCATTTCATTATTGATGAAATCTGAAGCTATCTGAAGTTGAATATCCTTGCTAATGTGCTTCAAATCACCCAGAACTTGTCAAATAAATAACAATCTGCCTTCATTCTTTGTTCATACTTATGAAGAACTTAAATTACTGTAATTTCTGGAATATTATATGGAATAACACTGTTAATTCCTTTATGTTAATTTCTTATTCTAAAGTATTCTTATCTAACATAAAGGATATTTTTTTCATTTACTGTTAGCAATATTTTAAATTTTGCTTCTCTCTTATTAAAATGATATGTATTTTTTATCTGTCAGGTTTATGCAGTAATAGAATTATTTTCAAATTATTTTGATAAAAATCATCTTTATAAACATGAAAGTCAGGTGTTCTGTTCTTCCGGCGCTTTCAAAGATTATATGTAATTATATAATATATCCTTTAAAATGTTTAAAGTGTCTAGGAGAACAAAAATCACAAACTGTAAAGACATCAGTGTGCATGCCAAGCAGAATCACTTATTATATTAAAAATGGGGATCCAAATTTCTTGCTTCAATACACTCTTTAAACTTTTGATTGTGAGTATACTGAATTAATTGAATGTGTGCAGTAAGGTCCCATTGGATCTCAAACCATATGCAGCATTATACTATAGATCAGGAGTTCTCAATCCCGCACCCCTAGAACGCTTCTGATATATTCTCGCACCCCTTACAAAAGTAAATAATTACATGCATATAATTATGCATATACACTATAATTTTGAAACTTCTAAACCCAAGTTTTTTCACCCCCGGAATATCATCTCACGCCCCTGGTTGGGAACCCCTGCTATAGATACTGTAGTTCTGTGAGTTGAAGCTAGTACAATCTCTGATTCAGATATTAATTGGAATCCATGGAGGGTGAGAAAGGGCCCACATAATATGAAAATAATCAGTCATTGCTTATGTAACATAATTTACTATTTATATTAAAATTTATCATACATTTCATGTTTTTGTGTTCCATATAATTGCTTTGCAAATCATTGTATCCTTACAGTACATGATCTTATATGGAGATGTAATGAAGCCATAGATTTTCAAGAGATATTATATAACATTTGCCCCAATTCCTTTGAAATCTTTATGAATACATTACCTTGCACCCTTCAGTTCTCATAAATAGACCTTTCTAGAGAGTGGCTCACCTAATAATTAGCCTAAGTTTGAATTAGCCTGTTTTTGTTTCTATATGTAGAGTGTACGTACAAAAATATTGAGAAGAAAATGTATTATGGGAACCCTGTGGTCTAATGCATTGCTGTCTTGTCTTAAAATATTTGTTTTTATTAGGTCTTAAAGCAAAGACTAGTTTTATACCACTTGTAAATATTGCATTTTGTTCATATTTCAGTAAGTGGAAATAAAGGGGTGCAGTAACATATTTTGGTTTTGCACATTTACTTAGACTGGAGTACTGATTGTTATTCAGTATATTTTGTGTTTCTTTCCTCTTGCATTTACCATTGACAATTTACCACTGAATAGGCATTTAAAATTGCATGTGTGTACTGTTAGCACTATCTGATTAGGGCTTAATGAAAATATAAAATAAGATAGTACCTAGAAAATCTGATTAATTACTTTAACCTGTTTTATTTTATCCAGGGATATCTTTGTGAAAATTATTAAGGCGTAAACTTTTTGTAACCTATCATAGATAACTATTATCCTAGACACCTTTATCCTCAAATTTAAATATCATTACTAGGGTGAGATAATAAATGTTTCCTTGCAAATTAATCTTAAATGTAAAAATCCTTGTTTTATTACCCAAGCGTTTTTGTAGTAAACATTATCAAACAAAGTGAGTATTTCTACAACTTCTGCTTTTAATTTCCTTCTGAATTTCATGTTTAGAAATCTTCTGTTGACTCAACCATGAGTGAATATTCTCAGTGCATTGTAGGGCATAGTAAGAATGTCATGTACTTATACAGTGAGGTAGACTGTTTGTACATAAAGGTAGTTCTTGGGTTAGACAGCAATTAGAATACTAGTTTACATTATTAAGCAATGCGGCCACAAAGTGTGACATCACATTTTACCACCATAACTCCAGAAATATGTAGTTCAGTAAGCAGGAAGAGGCGGGAGTCCTAAGCAAAGAGTGCACAGGTGTGTTTAGGTGTTGCGGGGGGAGGGGAAGGGCTGGTGCACATAGGTGCTTTAGAGTGGGAGGGGAATTGAATTGAATACTTTATTTGGCCAAGGGTGATTAGATACACAGGGAATTTGTTCATGGTGCAGAAGCTTTAAGTGTACATGCAAAGTAATAGAATGATGATAATCATCATAATAATAATACCAATAAGAGGAGGAGTAAAGATAACAGAAGGATAAATAAAGATATTTATTTTATAAAGGATAAAGAGT